CAAGTGCTACTCTACTGCCCAAAACTCATTCTTTCCATAGAGACATGATATTTCCATGACTGACTTGGGGTACGTTTCCTTAAGCGTCGTTAACCAGCTGTGGTCACATGCTCTGTCATTACCAACACAGATTTCATTCCATTTGAATATATATACGTTTCAATCTATTATTTTAGCATGTGAGCAATCATTGCAATCAATCAATGTTTTAACATGTAAACATATTTTAATGATTTTAACAAACAATCAATGTTTTTAAAGAGTGCGCATGTGCATATATGCGTAAGTAAACCCCAGAGTATGACATACTGTAAGTGGGAAGCAGCGATGAATCAAACAACAAATAAAGAATCAATGAATTGGTAGAAGTTATTACTCCATCATCTACACGTCACATCATTAAAAACAGTCCTATATTGTTGAACTAATGTGGTTCAAACAACAATGGTGTGACCATGTTACTACGGTTTCGGAAAACAGTTGTGACTAGCTGGTTAGTTTTTCCAACAATGCATCTATAGTATAGCAGCAGCGTTTGAAAAATCCTTATTTGTCCGGGAGAGCAGAAGGAGTTCGTCCGTTTTGTTGGGTAGAGAGCGGAGGTTCACCAGATGGATGCTAGGCAATGGCATTCTGAATCCGCACTGCCTTAGCTTCACGAGAGCGCCGGCTCTCTTCCCCCGTCTGCGCGTCCTGAAGCGCTTGATCAGCGCCGCAGCTCCCCCGACTACAATGTCCAGCAAAACATCAGAATAATCGAAAACCGGTGAAATATCAGGTGGTGTGTACTTCTGAATGTCCAGCAATTCGTCTCTGGTGAAACTGATTGCAGGGATATAACTAAAGACAGGACAAACTAACAAAAACATAAAAACAACTGCGGAGCACGCCACCGAGGCAGCCATCAGCGTCGGCGCCATCGCGAACATCATTAAATGATGCTACCAAATTCTATTAAATGACATTTAAAGAGATTTTCATGAATATTTCCATATAATGTCTCATTGTGATATATGAATTCCAGCCAGGATTTAAAAACTTGCTATTTGGATGGATGAATAAAAAAAATAAAAAATAAAAATAATAATAATAAAATAAAAAATAAAATAAAATTGGTATTGATGATGTGTTTATTAATGAATTACATGTTCAATATATATTGTAATGTTTAATATTTCCCTAAATTCTTAGATATAAGATGTAAGATAAGATAGATAAGATCTAAGAAACAACATGAATGTAAAGACTAAAGATTACGGTTCAGCAATTTATTAATCTTCTTTCCTGAATGAATAGATGTTTTCTCTGGTGGTGCCCCTTTCATTGTTTAAGAATACCCCTGTTTTCATAAGCCTACAGAGGTCAGATGGTCTGGCTTTAAGCCACATCTCTGGAGCTTAATGGTGGGGGTGTGATTTGCAGAGCCAAGGTAGAAGTGGCTCTTTAAAGAAATAACTGCAGGTAACCACTAGTGCACTGAATACAAAAAAAATAAAAAAAATAAATTATTGTTTGAAAAATGACACGGATCAGATGTAAATGCAAGCGATGCAATATTCTGCACTGTATTGTACTATATAGCGTGCCATGCCATGCTGTGCTGTGTGCCTGTGGTTCTTCTGGAAGTGCCTGCAAATGTCAGCTGTTGTTTAATTATTCAACAAAACAAAATAAATATAACATCTCAAGGAAAGCACATTTGTTTGTAATAATATGTCAGCAGATGATTATCCTTCATATACTTAGTAGCACTTAATACACATTAACACAGTAAATAGGTTTAAAGAATAATAACCATCTCCATCAAATTAAACTGCAGGCTCAATACTAGTCTATAGAAATAAATCTAACAAATGAAATTGATTTAACTGAACTCTATTCACCAGTTGATCAGTTGTGACCTTGTCTAGTGTCACACTTTGAAGGTTTTGTAGATGCTTTGATTCATTTTTACACAGTCACGCTGTCTCCCTCTCTATTCTGGGAAAGAAAGATACTGTTGTACTGAGCTTGCTTGATGCTCTGTGCCGTAATTTCGGAGAGGCCTTGTTCAATAATTCAGACTAACATTTTCTCAGAGCACAGTGATTCAAGATCCCAGTGTTCCAGCAAGCATCAGCCTGCCATTATTACGCCTCACTGGACTAAAAAGGTAACAGCCATCCAACCCCCCAACTCACTAGAGAGAAAGAGTGAGAGGAAGAGGAATAGAGAGATGAAAGTCCACCACCCCCTCAAATGAAAACTTCAAATGTGTGTTTGAAGTGGATGTGGGAGTGAAGCAGCACAGAATGAGGTTCATTTTACATTGAGGTGTTTCATCTTAAACCTTTTTTGTTCAGTGGGTGCGTAGATCCATATACAGTAGCATACTGTATTATCAAGAAGATAAAGATCCGCACACAAATAATAAAATGATACCACTTTTTGGCACTCAGATTTGTTTAAACACACAGCTGTTCACTTCACAAGACTTTAATTGGTGATCTGTAATCGTGTGGATTACTTGTGAATTATTGTGATGTTTTTATCAGATGTTTGGACTCTCATTCTGACGGCACCCATTCACTGCAGAGGATCCATGGTGAGAAAGTGATGTAATGCTAAATTTCTCCTAATCTGTTCTCCTGAGGAAACAAACTCATATACATCTTCATTGAAAAAAATAACTTGTCGGATTTACTTAAAAAATATATTTAAAAAAACATATTTTAAGTCAATTTTACTGCTGCTGCTCTGTACAATCTACTTACTGTTGAACTTAACATTCATAAAGAATTAAGTAAATATCACATAATTATATATAATTTCAAAAACAGAATTAAGTAAAATCTATGTGAAAATCTATACGATTTTACTGAATATAGCACCTAATTAAACCATGCTTTTAAAGTGTATGTTACTTACAAACATCTAAATAAAAATACAGTAACACTTTAGAATAGGGAACATTTATTCACTATTAAGTACGACTTTTCCCTCAATGAATTCCTAATTTTATGCTTATTAATAGTTAGTAAGGTAGTTGTTACGTTTAGGTATTGGGTAGGATTAGGGATGTAGAATAAGGTCATGTAGAATAAGGCATTAATATGTGCTTAATTATTACTACTAATAAATGGTTAATATTTAATTGCTAATAAGCAACTAGTAAAGAGACCCTAAAATAAAGTGTTACCAAAAATACAATAGATATCATGTAAATACCATCTACATAATGCACTCCATTGGTACATGTTACGTCCCATGTTAAAATTATGATGTGTTTTGGGTACGGTGTTTGTTTTTCCCTCCCCTTTTTTCTCTTTGTCTTTACTTTCGTTTTCAGCAGGGAGACGCGGGTACCTGAGTGGTCTAATTCTCTGTCAATCATCAAGATGCTTAGTGACGACAACGCGCGGCTTCACCAATGAGGGCGCGCTATTTGATTATAAAGACTGCACCTGTGCGAGAAGCGGGAGTTCGAGAGTCTATGGTGGAGCACGGCTTGGATGAGCTGGGCACACTACAGAGATGGTAGCAATATTATTAGCTATCAGGTGGATGGAGGATACTTGGCCAATGAATGCGGTGATATGTTCAGATTCATTCTCTGCATTATCAAGTCTTATCTGTCACAGTGTCTGGTTGTGGTGCCCTGGACCTCTTCCTGTTTCTGTCACGGAATGCCAGGAGAAAACAAGATTAGATCCATGTGCAGTAAGTTTATTAAAATAACAAATAATCCAAAACAGAACAAAAACTAGGCTAAAGGTAAATTCAAAACACAGGGAACAGAAAACACGATGTAACCTCGAACAATACTGCAGCAAAGACAGACAGTGAGAGCATGCTATAAGTAGTGATGAAATGATGAGTAAATTGCCAACAGGTGATAACGATCAGAACAAAACGACAAAGCAAAGGACTATGGGAAACGGAGTTCAAAACATGAAACACAGAAACAGGAAGAGCGCCCTCAAGTGGCCAGTCCAGGGCACCACAACCAGACCAGACCAATCCGGGAGCTCCAGTCCGGGAGCTCACAGAGTCCACTCCCGAGCCCGCTCCAGTCCGGGGGCTCACAGAGTCCACTCCAGAGCCCGCTCCAATCCGGGAGCTTACAAGGTCTATTCCAGAGCCCGCTCCAGTCCAAGAGCCCTCTGAGCCCACTCCAGAGCCCGCTCCAGTCCGGGAGCTCACAGAGCCCACTCCAGAGCCCGCTCCAGTTCGGGAGCTTACAAGGTCTATTCCAGAGCCCGCTCCAGTCCGGGAGCTCACAGAGCTCATTAAGGAACTCACTCCAATCCAGGAGCTTACAAGGTCTACTCCAGAGCCCGCTCCAGTCCGGGAGCTCACAGAGCTCATTAAGGAACTCACTCCAATCCAGGAGCTTACAAGGTCTACTCCAGAGCCCGCTCCAGTCCGGGAGCTCACAGAGTCCACTCCAGAGCCCGCTCCAGTCCGGGAGCTCACAGAGTCCACTCCAGAGCCCGCTCCAATCCGGGAGCTTACAAGGTCTATTCCAGAGACCGATCCAGTCCAAGAGCCCTCTGAGCCCACTCCAGAGCCTGCTCCAATCCGGGAGCTTACAAGATCTATTCCAGAGCCCGCTCCAGTCCGGGAGCTTACAGGGTCTGCTCCAGAGCCCGCTCCAGTCCGGGAGCTCACAGGGTGTTTGAGTTACGTCGTGTTTTCTGTTCCCTGTGTTTTGAATTTACTTTTTGCCTAGTTTTTGTTCTGTTTTAGATTATTTGTTATTTTAATAAACTTACTGCACATGGAACTAATCTTGTTTTCTCCTGGCATTCCGTGACACTTAGTGAACAATGGCCCATTCGATCTTTCTTCTCTTTGAGGTTTTCACTGTTTCTGTTACATGGTTGTTAAACCAATGTTACTAAACGGGAAAAGAGAAAAAGAACAGGTAAGATATCACGTGATGTACATGTGCCACACTGAGTTTTCAATTGTGTATAGAACACTGTTTTTGTCGGGGCTGAACGCAGCCCAGGTTAGTGACACGTGCCACCTGATTGTATTTAATTGGTTGGTAGTAAGGGTAGTTTATTTAGGGCGTCCTTGACGCTGAAGATTTTTCTTTCTATTTAATTTAGGGGTTTGTTTGTGAATATTGATGGTTGAGTTAGATTAGAAGTTTTGTTTTTGTTCTTAGTAAGATTAGTTATGTTTTGTTCAGTTAAACACTGAAACACAGGTCTTTTGAAGTGAACTGCACACATTTCAAGAAATCTCAGACAAAACATGATGTCGCCCTCTTTTTGAAAGTTGAAAGATCTAAATATAAGAGCATCTGCAAAATAATAAATGTCAAACATGATTTCATTGGCTTACTTTGGTAAAATCTATGTGGCTTGTGCTGCAAGTACAGCATTAGTCTGGTCAGCACAAGACATTTATATAGAGTTAATTAATTATGCATACGTGGTTGGAAGTCGGATCTATTTGTCATATTAATGTGTCAGGTTAATTGAATACACACAAACCACAACTCATTCGTAATTCTAATCATAACTATGTCTTGCAATTCCTATATAATGCATGTGTGGGTCTCGTTGCGTCACTTGCATCTTAGTATTTGGACACATTTATGTGTATTTCTGTTGAGATAATATGACATTAATACACAAAAGCTTCCATATCAGTGGTCAACTCCACACATACAGTATCTCAGGAACATCAAGAGGAGACACTAACAATTTTGAATGTTAATGCTCTTCACAACCTTAGTTTCAAATTTAAATTTCTCTCTCATCCACCCACCTCTTCTGTCTCGCTTTCCCCCCACTTCTCTCTTCCTCACTCTCCTCCCCTGAGAAAATATGCAATAGGAAACACCCATTTCATGGAATGAGAAAAAATGGGACACCAACAGAGACATTCTTTACCTTGTTGGATTAATTTCCTAATCCTGCACATCAGAACGCCAATTTATTATTCAAAGCCACAAATGTCTGGCCTGAGACTTTTAATTATACAGGTTATTTCATCAAAATCACCTACTGCATTGTAGGGAAGGGCCTGTATTTGATTGTTAGAGGAAGCACTATTGATCTGACAAAAGATTAATGGATGTTCAGACTGACAGTAATTAAACTCTGTCAGCTCTGCTGTTGCCTTGTAGCAAGTCTTCATTACAAGACATGAACACGCATACAAACACATTCTAGTTACAGAAAAGTGCACACACACACGCACACACACACACACAAAACTCCAGCCTTCCACGTTTCACCTCCTTCCACCAGCAGTCCAATCTATTTTCACAAATAAAACTGCCACTGAAACAGTTTTAGCACATACAGAGCCATAAAACGTCCCAGCGCATGTCAGATCACTGCATGGAACGAAGCCATAACACTTCCTCATAATGAAGCCACAGGAACAGGATTAAGAGCAGGCTTATCGCTGACAGATTTAAAATGCTTTTTCATCAGAAATGTTACCATCAGCCAATCCATCTGAGCTGACAACATACACATATTCACTGCATAAATGTTTAACAGAGATTAAGCTAGCTGATGTTTAAAGGGATAATTCACCCAACTGTGTGACTTTCGTTCATCTGTGGAATATTAAAGAAGGTATTTTGAGAAATATTTATGTGTTTTTACAACCAATGGAAGTCTATGGGCTCCAGTGTTGTTTGGTTCCCAACATTCTGCAAAATATCTTCTACAAAGGAAAGAAAGTAATAGGTTTGGAACCACATGAAGGTGAGTAAACAATGACAGAATTTCTCTGAGGGGTGGAGTATCTCTTAAGTGCCTCACATTATATGTGCCTGCATATCATGTACAACCTCACAGAATACTAATTTAATTTAGACTTCCCTATATTCATTATATTTACATATGCGGAAGTAAGCTATTTCATTTCCAAGACTTCTGATTCATCAGCCACTATAGTTAAATGACTAGAAGAATAACGAAGTACAATAAACTGTTGGGCTACAAACAAAAGTGTTGTTTATGATTACATTACATTTATGCATTTAGCATAAGCTTCTATCCAAAGTGACTGCCTTCCACGTTTCACCTCCTTCCACCAGCAGTCCAATCTATTTTCACAAATAAAACTGCCACTGAAACAGTTTTAGCACATACAGAGCCATAAAACGTCCCAGCGCATGTCAGATCACTGCATGGAACGAAGCCATAACACTTCCTCATAATGAAGCCACAGGAACAGGATTAAGAGCAGGCTTATCGCTGACAGATTTAAAATGCTTTTTCATCAGAAATGTTACCATCAGCCAATCCATCTGAGCTGACAACATACACATATTCACTGCATAAATGTTTAACAGAGATTAAGCTAGCTGATGTTTAAAGGGATAATTCACCCAACTGTGTGACTTTCGTTCATCTGTGGAATATTAAAGAAGGTATTTTGAGAAATATTTCTGTGTTTTTACAACCAATGGAAGTCTATGGGCTCCAGTGTTGTTTGGTTCCCAACATTCTGCAAAATATCTTCTTCTACAAAGGAAAGAAAGTCATAGGTTTGGAACCACATGAAGGTGAGTAAACAATGACAGAATTTCTCTGAGGGGTGGAGTATCTCTTAAGTGCCTCACATTATATGTGCCTGCATATCATGTACAACCTCACAGAATACTAATTTAATTTAGACTTCCCTATATTCATTATATTTACATATGCGGAAGTAAGCTATTTCATTTCCAAGACTTCTGATTCATCAGCCACTATAGTTAAATGACTAGAAGAATAACGAAGTACAATAAACTGTTGGGCTACAAACAAAAGTGTTGTTTATGATTACATTACATTTATGCATTTAGCATAAGCTTCTATCCAAAGTGACTTACAATTGTCACCCCTGGACTGTTTGATGTGTTTTCTTTCCCCATGTGCACTGTGTGACCTAGTTTCTGTCTCCCGTTCATTATGTCATTTGGTTCAGGTGTGTCTAGTTTAATTATCTTAATTTGCCAACCTACTTAAGTTGTGTTCTGTTCACTGTTTGCTGTCCGGTCTACTTAGTCCCTATGTGGTCATTCTGCCTATCCAGCCTTTGTTTGCGCTATTGTGGAATATTAAAGACCATTTGCATTAATCTTCATCTTCTTCCTGCGTTTATTTCACCATAGTGTGACAACAATGGAGGTAAATTAGCAATTTGTCACAGAGCTAACAATATTCGTAATGTACTGAGCCAGGTTTAGACGACTAAATTAGTAAACAAGCGGTGTGGAAGAGGTGTGTCTTCAGCTGATTCTTGAGATTGGCAGCTCATTCTGAGTAGTGTGGAACAGAGAGGGGGAAGGTTTTGGTCTTTGTGTCTCGTTGTGAAGGAACAACGTAGCTTGTTCAGCGACCATATCAGGCAGGAGATTAGATCATTTAAATAATCGATTATTTATGATTAATACTGTAAATTAAATAATATGATAACAAATACAAGTTTGCACTATCAAGCAGAACAACGGACTGTTATACTATATAGCTAAAATAACTCTTAACAGAAGCCTTGCACATTCTGGTAAAAAATGGCTGTATACCCATTCTTAGGGTGTGTTCACACTTGGCAAGTTTAGTTCATTAAAATTAATTCTGGTGCACAGGGCAGGATTTACGGGGCCGGAGGCCCCTGGGCTTGAGGTTATGTTTGGGCCCCATACCTATACTACAAATGCCCTCAACTAGAACATTATTATGTAGTAACACAAAATACACAAAAAATAAAATATGCTTTCGGGTTCATATACTGTATACAATTAATATGCAACATGTCTAGTCAAAGTTTAGATGTAATATTATAGTCACTATAATACAATAAACAGGATGTGATCTCTCAGTTGAGAGATCAAAACCCTGAAATAACACTGAGCAGAAAAAACTAAAGAGATGTATTATGAAAATGTGTCATATCTGTGTCCTTTTATGTCAGATTCTTAAATTTAATAAATTCAATCTGAATAAAAAAAAACATGTTGGTTATTAACAATCAAATGAAATCTCCATAAACAAAATCCATAGGTGGATTTTGCATAAGTTATGTTAAGTTTAAATACAACATTTTAATGTAGGAATATTAAATAATTGCAAAAATGAAATGAGCTACTTTAAAAAAAAAATGAAACCACAACCGGCAGTAGGTGGCAGCAAGTGACTGTCTTAATGAGTGAGTTAACAATACGAATCAACCGATTCGTTTAAAATGCTAATTAATTTAACTTAGCAAACGACTGTACTAATAGCCTGTTTGAACCATTTTAATGGTTAGAGAGTCGGACTCGTAACCCAAAGGTTGTGGGTTCGAGTCTCGTACCGGCAGGGCTTGTAGGTGGGGGGGGAGTGAATGCACAGCGCTCTCTCCCACCTTCAGTAGAAGACTAGTTAGGTACGTATACCTAACTGTGCGTAAATATAACATATACATATAAGGTGTATATGTTATATTTCAATAACAATGGGGAAAAGCTTGTGTTACAGGAAGATTTGTGTGTGTCTGTGGGATACGTATGCTATGGTGCCTAGCAAAATCATTCAGAGCTGCTGGGAGCCACACCCTGCCAACCCAGCAGGAGGTCTCTGCTCAAAGGAGGAGAAAGAGAGAGACAGAGAGTGGGGGATGTTTGCCCTGACACCTAGAGAGAACACATCAGACTAACCCAGGGAGGTGACAAACAACAAGGACATAAAAATGACATAAATGCATATATAAGATGCACAAAATACAGGGAAGAAACCTCCCCAACCTATACACAAACACAGTACAATACTGCACTGTAACACTAAAAAAACCCTTTTCACATCATCATCATCACTCCCTTTAATACCAACACTTTCAGATCTGCTTACAGTGGAAACTTTATAATAATACAATTATTTTCCAAAACCATGCCTTCCCATTCCATAGTTTCCATGTTTCCACAGTATTCGATTAAAACAAATATGGAGGGCAGTTTGAAGTATTGTAAGAAATGCTGTGCTGATCCCAGGTCAGCAGACAAAAGGCAGATGGAAGATGCTGCAGTAATGATTGCAGACTGCCATGAGCTGTTTCTTCCTTTTAATTGCAATTGATCAAAAAGCAAAATGTAGCAATTGATCCAAAATCAATAACCTAAGGTCTATTGTAAGACTCGAACCCATGCACAGGTCCTAAGGTCTAAGACCCGTTTTCACTTGTGAAAATAATTATATTTTACATTTTTTTCTATTAAGCATAGGCTATTATCTGATATATATATATATATATATATATATATATATATAGTATTATATATATATATAGTATTAATATATAAAATATGACCAGGACTTTTATATAATAATAACTTTGATCATATGGATCGTCCAACAATGGAATGTCCATTTTAAAGGAAGCAGATGAGAGTATTGACACACAGGGACTGTGTGGTAAAATCCATGCATGACCACACCCTGATGTCAGACTGCAACGTTTGCCTGCTCTTTCTCCCTCACACTCAGCACTGCAGTTATTATGTAACACACTGCCAGTGACTCTCTAACACATATCTCATATGTGACTTTCATCATTCAACCCTTGCACCCTTCACTGTTCACAGTCAGCCAACTGTTCTGCCATCATCTCATCAAACTCTCATCCTTAAATTGAGCACTGCAACTGACTAGCCTATATCAGATTTGGACTGATCATTGTGTCTGTGATAGATGATCAGAATTATGGTGTTAATTGCTTAAGTCACACTCAGTCTGAATAGCACAGACTTTGACAAGCATATCTGGATATCTGGATGTTCTTTACATAAATATAAAGAATGCTAAAGAATGAGTTATTCACTCGTCTGATGTACTCCATATTATTTCGAAAATACTGATATACTGTCATATGTTTCATAGATTATTTTTTTTCCCTCTATAGTTTAGTTAGATATTAATGAGAAACCGGTTAACTGACCAAATCATTTCCAAAAGTGATTGATTACTGTATATTGAACAATTGGAGTTAATTATACATTTGCTACAGCCAATGTACCTACTTATTTTTCCCTGAAGAACTGCAACTTTCACAAGCACATTTCTGTTTATAATATAATACAATACAATACAATATAATATAATATAATATAATATAATATAATAAAAAATAATATAATATAATATAATTTGATTATATATTCTTTTCAAGCTATACACTACACACTTTTATTGTCCCAACACGATCTTTGTCGCTTTAGTATTCAATGGCAATAATTGAACTACCGCGCCATCTGCTGGTCAGTTGGAACATGCAATATACAAAATGGATAAATGATGCCATTTCCCATAAAATGTTTTATAATAGGCTATCATTTGCTCCCTTTTCAAAACAAAACAAAACAAAACAAAACAAAACGTTCCCTTTTGGATGGCAGAAACGCCATACAATGTCAAGGATCTAAATACAATAGGTTGGTGGATCTTGCAAAGCTGTCAGGTGCAGCAGTAAACAGCAATGCTCAAATGTGAATTATTACTGAGATCACTAACCCAGCTCTGCTATCACTGTGCCCCAGAGCTCTTAACCCCTAATGGATAAAATCAGGTAAGGTGTGGAGGACAGATAACAGTGTATTATTCTAGTCCAACCCAGTCATTTACCTGCCTGTATTCATTTCAATTATAATTAAAACCAAATAACTGAACTAGTCAATTGCCACAATATAATGCAAACTGGCTTCTGTTCTAAGCCAATTCAGCCTGGTGAATATTGAGGCTGTTTTCATCATGGTATCTATAATTGCATGCCTGTGAGAGAATGAGGAACTGCCAGTCAGACTGCGACAAATACGATGCAATTTACGTGATATTGAGGCACAGTAGAATATTGAAATATACTTTTTTTGTTTTTTTTTACAAAACATATGTCCTAAACAGATACTGTAGGTTACCTGCAGAGCAACTTAAGTAAAAGTAAAGACATATTTACTAAATTTAAATGGTCCAGTGCAGAAATAGTGAAATCTTCATATGTCAGTCCATAACGAGTAAAGCCTTTATATTTTTATTTGTTTGCATCACTGTGGTCAGATTTAATGAACAAAAAACAAAAAAACAAAACAAACAAAAGATTCTTCTTGCAATTTAATCATTATGCTTACAGTTTGTAGTTTCCCTTCAACACTAGCATATTGAAAATGAAATAATTTTTTTTCAATGAACAGATGATTCATAACTAGATAATGCTTAGCATATGTCAGAGAAGGACGAGCTCCTCCAGTTAAATCTGCTTCCTTTCAAGGTCCCCCCCCCATCCACTACCTAAACATCTTGTGGAGTTTTTCCTTGCCACAGTTGACTTTGGTTTGCTCTTTGGCTTTAAGGCTTTAGACATTTATTTTTTGAATAGGTGCACATGAACATGACTTGTATAAAACGACTTGACTTTGATAACAACAGTCAAATGAATAAATAAAACATGAACAGGAATGAATTTGAACATGAGGGACTGGAAGCGGGAAGGATACTGAACTAATCTTGATAACAATAAACTGAACACTATCATGACATTTTATAGATATATGTAGACCAAATACGAAGAGACCAATGTTAATTTTTGTCTGTGATGTAATGCACATCAATTAATTTGTCTTGGACATTTGAATTTAATTAACTGAAATTGTTTCCTCACACACACACACAAAAAGAAAAGAAAAATAAATGACTAAATAAATAAAATAACTAACTAACTAACTAACTAACTACCTAACTAACTTTTATTATTATTCTTTAAAAATCTATAAATACAGATAAAGATACATTTCAAGAAATAATCACGGACACAAGTGTTATTTTTCTGAATATCAGCATGACGGTGAACAACAATATGACATCCATAATCTGTAAATTTGAAACATGAATAAAAAAGTTGATTTTGCAAAACTAGGCTGGAAGTTTGTACAAAGGAGATATAGTTCCACATATTCGAAATGGAGATCTTCCCATCTTTTAAATAATTTGTTGTGTGTTTCTTTCAACTAAAGTTAGTTCTAAATGAAGTCCAGGCTTCACGGTGTCGATGATCTGCAGACTCTATGATCTAAAATGACTTGGGTAAAGGAAACCTTAGACATTATGGTTAATATTGCATCCATTAGTGAGTGCAGATCAGAGTGCATTTAGGATTTCACTTTCATTTAACTGCTCTGACAGTAACTGGTCCTCAACAAAAGACCAAATATAATTCTGTAATGGCTTTAATGACCAGCAGATGTCAGCAGAGTTATTAAACAAAGACGGCAAGGATTCACTGTCAGGCCTAATAACCCTTTCTGAGCTGACAGACCTCAAAATGTCTCAATTTAACACACACACACACACACACACACACACACACACACACACAAATGAGTTTCCTTGTGCCACTGCCAATATTCCATTTATACTTGATCGGAAAATAAATAAATAAAAGTGTCTATGATGAAATCCCTCCCTCATTTATTCCATTTTGATTTTATCCTAGTTTTCACTTGGTTTCTCCTGCCAGATGGTGACTAGTTTCATCACTCTAATCAGTTTAAGAAGAAAAGCAGTTCATTTTCATTATCTACTGAAGAGCAGTGTTAATTTTACACAGATTGTTTGCTCTTTGGTAAATGTGACTCATTTGTAGACTGACATCAACATGTGTTCATTCAGTTTTCCCAAAATAACGCAATAAAATAGTTATTAAGGCGTATTAGCAGGTCGTTTCCTAACGCTGAGGGAAAAAAAGGGAAATGACCAAATCAACCTACCTCAGGCTCCCCTACTAAGCCTAAATAAACTGCGAGGATCTCCTTGCACTGCATATTTACGAGCTGGGCTCCCCAACGGCCAAGGCATTTCCCTGGAAACAGAAGGTATGGGAAATACCATTCAATAAGGCTGCAGGAGAAAAGAGGACCCCACACCAACACTGCTTTTAATAGGTATGTGTACACACACACACACACACCAACTGCCAATGCAACACACTCCTGCTGAAGTACACACGCTTGTATACACGTACAAACTCGCAGCTGTAAGGAAACCGCATAGACGTCACAGACGGCTATTTTTATGTGCATGGACTGATGCACAAAGACATTTTTAGGAGTGACACCTCACCTCCTAAAATGTTATGATGTGTGTGGTTCGACCACCAGGTTCACCAACCTGGCCAACTTAATTTTTCTTCCATTCAGAGAATGCTACTATATAGTGGGCAAAAAACATGAGGAAAAAATTCATAGTATTCATAAAACAGTAGGTAAAAAGTCTCCGGATGACTGTATTACTTCTGTCCAGATGAGGCCATAGGAGAGGATTTTTGAATAGCAGTGAAGTGATGCAGCTGACACTGGTAGGTCACATGACAAAAACAACATGGGAAATGTAGTATGTCCAGATTACATTCATACTATATAGACTTTATTTTTCAAGGAGTCATGAGGTTGGCTAGTTATTCAAAAGGATTACCTATTCAGAGAGTATGCGATTTCGGACACAGCCGATGAATGTAGTACATTTACATTCATGTTGCCCACATTCATACTATAGTTTGACTATCAGTTCAGTTGTGAAGTAAGTAGGCTTATTATTATATTTAAAAAAAAAACTACTCAGAGAGTATGTGAATTCAGACACCACCCCAGTGTACATCTCAATCAATCTCAATCATCTTAAAAGCGAAATCCTTGGATCGTTTGCAGGGAGCATCAATGCTCACTATGCTTCTTTAACGGAAATTCTGAAGCAGAAAACATGAATCGTATGAGCCAACTGAATAAAGTATTTGTCATACTGTACTTTAAATGGCATAAATAATAAGTAATTTCAGAAAGATATTATCGGACCTGTTGTTGATAAATACCAGTGGTGATGTTTTATAACTCAAGTATGGATGTTGCTGGAAATTAAGTAGGCTAATCAGTGTCCCAGTCAGCATGTCCAAATACTCCCCATGCACCTGCATCCTGAATTGCAAACTGTCTAGTAAGTACTACATTTGGTTTGAAAATTACTTTTTGAGCTTTAAAAAAGTATGCGCTATGAATGTGTGTACTATGATTGAAAATCGGACATCCACATTCACCATGTTGTTACTGTCATGTGACCTATATGGTGTTAGTTGCAGGGTTTCTTTGTCATTCTCAAATCCTGTCCCATGGCCTCATGGGATAGAAAAGTGTCCACTGGATGCACACTCCAGAATCACGCTGGAAGTAGTAAGACATCTAGGTACTTGTTGCCTACTGTTTTATGAATAATATAAATACTCAGGTCATATAGGCTACTGTTTTTTTTTTTGCCTACTGTATAGTATGTATATTTGGATGCTGAGCTGCATGCAATTTTGGCCACTAGAGAGCATGTGCATGTGACATGAAGTAAGGTCTGAAAACATCACAGCTCAAAATAATCCCACCATTCATCATGTTCAGGAATGTTCAAGGAATATGTTCCAGTGTAAGTTAAATGAATTAGATATTATATATAATTTGGTGGTAAAACACAGAATGCCACACAACTGCTTTTTATCATCTAATTAGTAGCACCGCTATTAAATTCAGTCATCTGTTAAATAGGGACTACTAAACTGACATTGAAAATGTTGAAATGTTGAAAAGTTTATTGTAAAGTGCAAAGTATTGAAAATCAAAATGTGTAGGCCTAAATAAAGCACTGTTTATTTGCATTTTACAGCACTGTGTTGTAAGTGCGTCCCATCGCCTAATCAAAAGTTCTACACACACTTGAACACTTGAGCCAAGTACAGGAAAAATGTCATTTAAGTTGACAAGTGGTCAAAGACTGCAAGTGTGGGTATTGGGACAGAGCCAATGTGAGTCAGGGAGGCAGCAAATTCATGTACAGTACACAGTGTACTGATGCACTACCTAGGGAGCTAGAGAGCTGATTGTGACACACCCACAGTCTTACAGCATGAGAGCTGTAATCAGCTGTTGATAATTAACGCTAACTTGATGTCAGCTCAGCCTGGTGAAGTAAAACATTGTGATTCACCTGTATAGAAAAAAAAAATCCCACCTCCAAACTGCTGACAGCACAACTGCCACAACACCAGGAAGCTTCGCTACTTCATAAAACCCAGTAGGGAGGAGGACAGGGGTCTCGTTAACACCCTGGGATCTCCTTTGTGAAGCCCAATTCATTACAGCAGCTCGCATGACAGAGTGAAAAAAGGCACATCATTTTGTTCAATATTTCCAACACGTCATATTTTCTCCATTCCTTGGGCGAGGGACCAGTGCCAGAATGTTTCGAGATACCTTGTGGTATATGTTAGTGGTCGTTTTAAACGCTCCGCATATAAAACTGTTGTTGTTCTCAGCTACTAGTGAAACCTTTTAATAGTTGAGGGGTTCCCTGGATGCTTCCTGCTTCCCTCCAGATGGACTCAGGGTTTGGCCCATGATGCTGTGGGGTTTCTATCGGACACACACGTGCACAGCTGCATTTCAACAACACAGATGAGCCCGAGTGGAAAATGTGTGCACTGCATGGCATGTTGGCTGAGATTGTAGAATCCCTGGTTAAAATGAACCTAGTACTTTGGGTGAGAAAATAAGTAAAGGGCAAATAATCTTTCATTCATGATCAAATAAATAAATCATCTGGGCTGTCATAAGTGGCCCTGGACCACAAATCCAGTCATAAGGGTCAATTTTTGGAATAAATAAGCTTTCAATTGATGTATGATTTGTTAGGATAGGACAATATTTGGCCCGGGATACAACTATTTGAAAATCTGGAATCTGAGGGTGCAAAAATATCGCCTTTAAAGTTGCCCAGATGAAGTCCTTAGCAATGCATATTACTAATCAAAAATTAATCTTGGTATATTTACGGTAGGAATTTTACAAAATATCTGCAAGGAACATGATCTTTAATTAATATCCTAATGATTTTTGGCATAAAAGAAAAATCGATAATTTTGACCCCTACAATGTATTGCTGGCTATTGCTATAAATATATCTGTGCTATGAGTTATGACTGGTTTTGAGGCCCAGGGTCACATATTTCTGTCTCAAAGCAAGAAATAATTTCCATGGGCTGTTTTGTGGTCTACTTCTGTCACCAAAAGATGGCAGCAGTGCTAAATGTCTAATTAATGCTTATTAGTTTGAGATAGAGAAATCCACATTTGGATGAATGAATGAAAGAGTAGGTTTCATTAGCTATGTTTTTTTTTTAAGGTATAATATTTTGCTACCCTCAACATCTGTAATCGTTAAATGTCACATCTAAACAGTTGTGTTCTGTTCAGCCATGAAGTGAGCAATCCACAGAGCATCGAGCTGTGTACAGTATCTTCTCCACTGAACAGCTGCTGTGTGCTGTCGGTGCACCTGATCCCGCGCGTCTCACGGGCGCATTCCTTGGCCAATAGCAGCGCGCGTCTCTGCGCAGGCCTCGCCCACACGCGCTCATTGAACTTTCATTATTTGCATCAAGCGCCCCCACATCCACTTTTACTTTCACGCTCTTCGGCAGACGGTTCAACAGAGCACTTTGTGTTGGTCAAGATGCGCGACGCGCTCGCCGGTTTGTGCATTGGGATTATACTGTTATTAAACAGCGGGTTTGTGGTTATGAGGAGGCAGGACTCGTCTTCAGCTCTCGGCAGTATTTTCCGAACGAGGTGCGCCGCCAGGTGCCTGAGCCTTCACAGCACGCGCATCGCTCTCTCTCCAAGACATTTCCAGGTAAGGAAGAAAAAAGTTGAAAAAAGTGAATGATATTGAGTGTTGTGCTCATATAGGCTATGTACCGAGTAAGATAATCAGATATAAATAAATAAATGCCTTCCACTGCCTCATTTATTACTAATAATCAACTTATATTGATTTTTTCCCCCACAACAGATACAGATTATGTTTAGCTTTAAGTGACC